TGTCACGTCTCCTGCTCCAGGGCCTTCACACCAAGTGGGAGGCAGGGCTGTAATTCCCTGGGCACAGTCCAGGAGTGGGCATCGCATTTGGCACCGCTGAGTCATCCACAGGATATTGAGAGACGCTGAACTCCTCCCCTGCGCCTTCACTGACCCGTCTTAATGCTCTGTTGAGACTCAAATCCTGTTTGTAAATGGAAGACCCCCAACCCTCACAGGGGTCCCCCATTGCTGTTCTGTGGGAGCCTCCAGTCCCGTCCGATTGATTGATTTCTCCGGATACGCTGAGGGTGGTCCCGGGGGGAAGGGGGTCTTGGCAGGATACCCCCCCATATTCTTAGCTCATTTGCCACTGTGCCCTTGCCAAGTTTTGCTTCCCGTTGCATTTCATCAGATCATTCCTTAGTCTGTCTCCTTAAGGCACATTCAAAGAATCTGAATTAAGCTTCAGTCAAGCCCCTGACTTCCCCTAGAACGCGTTGTTAGGGAACTCGCCCACAAAGGCAGCCCGGGCGCTGTCCCAGACTCCAAGCTCCCTTTCCTCTCCTCCTCATCCTCCTCATCATTCAATTAATCTCCAGCCAGTTTTCCTCAGTGGCCCTTAACGCTCCTGGTCATTGGGCAGGCCCTTGTGTGTCCTGAACAGCTATGCCAAGAATCTGCCCATCATAGCCCTTCTTTTCTGCTCACTGCAACCATGAGACTTTTGTCGAATTATCTCTGGACCTGGAAGAAGTTTCACTTTCTGGAGAAGAGCTTTTTAGCTCTAGTCTCCAGTTTCTCCTGTACCAAAGGCAGACCCCTCTAATGCCTCCAGTCAAGCGCTCCCACCCACCCAAAGCAAATCCTCCTCTGAGACAAAGGAGAGACTTAACTTGCAATGTCTTATTCACAAGTCCTTCATCAAAGTAAGTGAGTACAACCCTTGTCTGTTTCCACAGCCTTCTCTGAGCTGAGAGGTTGTCAGCAAACATTTTCTGAAACATCAACAAGAGCTTTCGTAAGGTGGCTGCTGGGAGCAGGGGGAACGTCTGGCTGTCAGAGCAACCAAACTAGACCCCACATCTCTTGAGTTCTCTCCACCCCCACGACCACTGTAGCCTGGGCCTCCGTTAGCTCCTACCCGACCCACTCCAGAAGCATCCCATGTGGTCCCCTATGATTCAATCTCCACGTGGCAGCTGGAGAGAATCTAAAAATGTCAATCGCATCTCACTTCCCCCTTTCCTATCCCAAGTCAAGACCTACTTAGATAAAACTTAACCTCTTTCATTCTGCCTAGGGATCCCCGTGGTTTTGCTCTTTGTCCAAACTTGGCTCCTGTCAGTCTGTCTCATCCACTCTGCTCCAGGCATATCAGTACTCTTTTGGGTTCTCAAACTTCCAGACTGGTTCCCTCCTAAGAGCCCGTACAGTAGTAGCTGTCCCTTTCATGGGATATTCTCTCTTCTGATTTTTATATTACTGATTTTTTATCTCCTTCTTGTAATTCAGACTGAAGATCTTGGTCACCACATTTAGATTACCAGGCATATCGTGTTAGGTAGAGGCATATGAAATTGCTGTTTGGTGGGTTGACTGGTGGAAGTTTGAAAGGTTCGACCTAAGAAAAGCTCTGAGCGTATTTGTCTTGTATGAATCACAAGTCTTTATACGACTGTTTTTATAGAGTACAAAGCGTTATGACGGGTACACAGTGGTAGGTGATGCCGCCGTCACTGTGGTCATCATCGTTATCATCGTCATTCTAAGTCACAAGGAAGATGTAGGAGCAGAGGAAACTTCAGCATTAAACTGGTTTGGGATGCGGGAGACAGGAGGTCTGAGACTGGATCTGCCAGTGCTGTCAAACTGTGTGTTCTTGGCTAAGGCAGTATCTTTTAGAGGTAACACAGAACTGGATTTTAAAATCAGACCTACAAGAAACAAGTATCTTACCATGTATCAAACTTTATGAATCATTTCTAGGCTACAAATACTCACAAGGCACAGGGACAGCAGGGAGAAGCTGGGGCGGCCAATACCACCTCCCAGGCCCTTTCTTGCCGCATTCGGACTTGGTCTAGCCCAGATTTAACATGCAGGTCTCCAAAAGATGTATCTGAACGCACTGTTTACATGAAAGCCAGCTCTTCTAGTCATGAAACATTTCCATTTTACGCTCCAGTAATTACATAGCTTACGTGACATTTTTCAGGGCTCCATGCCCCATGAATCAGTAGATTTCCAGGTTTATTTACCGTAAGTGATCCTAGCAGGATAAGGTACATGATGCTAAAAGTATCTCAAAGATAAAAATTCTGCCACTAACAAATACCATCCGTGGTTTCTGCTGGAATCCTTAATAGGTATTTACAAGGAGATTTGACCAGGTCACATTTCTTCCTCCAGGGTGTCCCCAGGAAAGGGAAAGACTGTATCGCAGGCCTGTGTAACCCTTTCCTTCCCACTTCTGTGGGCTATAATTCCCTCGTCTATAAAAGGAAAACCTTGCTCTGCATATCCGAGGTCTTAAACTGTTTTCAATCTCATTGAACCCGTGATAAGTGAGGCTATTTCCAGCCACTACTGGGCGGAAGCTACATAACTAGCAGTAGTAAAAGGAATTCCCCACCACAAGGATGGTTCACCTCAACTCGAAAAGCTCCTTCCTGCTTAATGATCACGAGCAAGTAGGGTGTGATGAGAAGGGTGTGAGTCAGAGGAGCAAAGGTTCGAGCCTCAGGTCTAGAACTTAGTGGCTACAGGTCTCTGGGAAAGTAGCACAAGACATCTAAGTCACCATTTCCTCACCCGTGAGATCGCATGATGGCATCTTCCTCCTGGGACCGTGGTGAGTTTGAAATAAGATGATGTATGTCAACACCACGCACAGTAGTGAGCATAAAGCAACTGGCAGTGATGAAG